TAGAGGATTTTGAATCTGTCGCGCAGCATGACACAGTGTTTCATTTCGAGCAGGTGTTGTGTGCTCGACGAAATGAGTTTCCTACGGATCATTGGTGACCTCATACTTTCGAAGTTCCCATTCATTGTTTTCTGAGGCCAGATCGGGATGTGTTCGGTTACTCGGTAACGCAGTTGCCTCTCCGTTCTGCCGATGTAGATGGCCGAGCATCCACACGTGAACTGATAGATACAATTATATTTGGCTGGGGGAGACAACGGTTCTTTCACCGATGGTATTGGCAACCGGGCGGTTGTAAAAACAACGTTGCGTAGTAGGTGCGCTTGACGACCAATTTCAGTTCAGTTTGTACAACCATTAACCATGCACTTTCGTGAGCACCTGGTGTCTTTCCCTGTGTACGGTTAGGTTGGGAATGCTTTAAGATGAACCCTTTCGGAGGTCCATTAGAGTGTACAACTTTTCTGATCTTGTCACATTCGTTATCCAATGTATCCGTTATGCAAATCAGTCGCGCCCTGTAGAAGAGCGTTCGAACTAGACCAGTCTTATATCCCACTGGAGCAAAGCTAACAAAATGGAGATTTTGTCCGGACCATGTATACTTTCGGTACACAGACCTTGCTGAGTAACCGAGCACATCCCGATCTGGCCTCAGAAAACAATGAATGGGAACTTCGAAAGTATGAGGTCACCAATGATCCGTAGGAAACTCATTTCGTCGAGCACACAACACCTGCTCGAAATGAAACACTGTGTCATGCTGCGCGACAGATTCAAAATCCTCTACAACACAAACAACACCGAGGTTCTGAAATACGCCGAGGCACTAGCCATTCAAGATTACCATCCCAAACTGTGTAAACAGCGTCAATGGCTTATCACTCTGGCGCTGCCTTGGTAACAAATATGTTTGGTGAGTAATTTTCACTGCAATCTTTCTCCGCCTATGATTCTGTTATTTACTCACCATAAATTAATGATCACATGGACTGCAGTGTGCACGTGCACAGATGCAGCGAAATGATCCAGGATACATGGTGCAAACCTGTTTTTGGCTTCTTTATTCAAATTTTACACTTTGATGATGCAAAACTAATACTGAACATGGCTACACTAACACTCAAACTATCCACAAAAGCTCGCAACTTATCTAGATCTTCACTTAGTAGCGCAATGTCGTCTGCGTACTACAGATTAGGATGTACAAACTGCGAGCAAATCGATGCCACTATCCGCACTAGAGGATAGAGCTGTTTCATGAATTACACCTACGATAAAGTTAAACAGCAATGGAGAGAGAGGACAACCCCGACAAACACCACTTACTGCAGCGAACTCGGGCCATGTCACCAAATAGGTTGCCACGGTGCACAATCTTTACCGATGCAGGTTTCGGATCTTCGTTCTTCTCTTTTTATCCAAATGGGCAGCCAAATGACTGTAACCAAACCGGCAAATAAAAATACATGGTCAGTGGTTTTAAAACGGAACTGAAACTAAATTTATCTTTTCGAATTACCGGAAAAGCCGCGGTATATCTGCTATTCATTGTTAATTTGCTCATTATCGCTCTGTTCTATGCTCCCTTGGGTTAATGCTCCGTTTTCACCCATTTCATCCGCTTTCTACGTCTTTCTCCATCTCTTGCACACATTTCAGTGATTCTATCATTCGTTTATTTTCCTCCGAACCTACACGCCAAGCCTCAGCTGATGCGATTAAAACATATGAGGCGGAATTGGCCAGTTCGGAAATCCAGGCACCAAACGCTTCGGACATGGGCGATCTTAATATGGACAAACTCCCGGGGATCGAAGCTCTGCTGTGTCCTGGTAAATGACATTAGTGCATCTCTCAAAAATGCAACGTTAGTCTCTGATCCTGCATGTGTAGTATTAGGAGAATGTTTTAAATAAAATATTTATCATCTTCGTTCCACAGGCAAGCGTGAAGGACAAGTCATTATGATCAAACAAGACAATCGGATACTGTGTTATCAATGGTCCATGGCTGAGTCACGCTGGATGGAAATTGGTGACGTAGTCGGAGCACAAAGCCCCAACGCGGCCATGTTCGAAGGCAAGGTCAGTTTGTCTTGCTTCGAAATCCCGTTCTTATGACATTGAGTTGAACATGTTCCAGGGCTGCAATTCCATGCTTGTAATTGCTGACTGATTGGATGGGAAGAAAACATCTCATACGATTAATGATTCTCCCCATAACTTCATTTGACTCCCACCAAACTGATTTCTTTTTAGAAATAACGCGATTACTTGCCCTCTTTTGTTCGAGGAAACTACTGAAGGAAGTAAAATCACTTGTATTTTAAGCGGATTAAGTAACCAAAACTGTCTAATGTCATCACTGGTCGACGTTTGTGCCATGATTTAATAAAGCTTGAAGCGGATGTCAGTGACAGCGGAACGGAAAAAAAACGCACTGGTTTCTTCCCATATGTGGAGTAGATACTGCGTATGCATTTGACATATGGACACTTGTAGTTCATGCAGAATGGAACGAATGAAACGTATGACAAAAAACGAATAGATTCAAACCAAGTAACGAATCATCGAAGTGGTCCCATAGAGCACATTTCAAACAAAACAACAGAGCGGTGAGCAAGCTCGTTTTCAGATATTCGTATTCATGCCAATACATCTCAATATATATCACTACTTGGGGAAAAAATTGTCATGGGAAGATAAAATTACAGATTACTAGAAACGATTTCACTGTGAGACCGTAAATCGAGTTCACCACGATCACGTGTTTGTTTGTCCACTCATCCGATCATCGAAATTACTCGTGTTACAGTGTGTGGGGGTGGGGGTGGGTCATGGAAGCTATAGCGCTTGCACAAATTGTTTTTGGACACAGAGGGGAGTTGTGCAAACGAATGCCCACCGCTTCTGCCTTAGCCAACATCCGACAGCGAACCTGTCTCGGTAATCGCCTACGAACTTTTTTCAAGGGTTGAAAAGCCTCGGACACGTCCACAATGTGATTTATTTCAGCTAGGTGTGAAACCACTGCACTGGTGAGTGACTTAATCGTTCCGGTGTTCAGCCATGCGGGGTGATGTTCACGAATCCATTCGGACAACCGCCTGACCGTGCGGCCTCTGTACGTTGTTTCACAGGAGCAAATAAATGAGTATACACAGAATGAGACCGCAGAGTCTAGAACTGGATCCTTCAGTTGCAAACACAATTGGCCTAAACGTGAACGATACACAAAGCTTGGATGCACAGGTCTTATCGATTGCGTCTGATAATCTTTTTTGTGTGATCTCGGCTGATGTGGCCCCTTTGAACGAATCACTGCGTATCGTGCTATAGGCTTTCCCATCGTAACTCAGTCCTGCTGCATCGTTATTAATTATTGTCACGTTGTTTCCCACTCCCGGCACATCGTCCCTCCAGCTGATTACATTTTCCCACCAAAAAATACATTCGGTTTTGATATAAATTGTGTTCAACATGACTGAACGATTGATTGACTCCGTGTGTTCTCACTAGTTGTATCTGGACTCCAGTTTATCAAAAGCATGGTGTGGTACGTCCGATAAATCAATGCAGAGGATAGCGTCGTCTTCAAACTTTGGATAAAATTACTAGTATCTGCTTATTTGTAACATGAATCGCAGTTGTGCACCACAAATGGTCAATTTTAAACTGAACTATGAATATAATTTAATAATGTTTGGACCCTATGGTCCGAGGTTCCAGCCCCGCCACTGCCACCTAAATTTGGTGATAGGCAGCCTCACTGTCGTCCGATTCGATTTCACGCCTAACCATGCGGGATTTTATGTGGTTCTCTACTCCTGGGGCTTAGGCAGCCGGTTTCCATCAATGAGCAGCTGATCTTCTTGACTATGTGGTCCATCCCGTGTACGATTAACCACAGAAGTGTGTGTACTAAAAAATTCAATTTGTAGTCTGTCTCGATGCATTATCTCTTCGACTCATTGGCTTATTTAACTTGTTTGTTTTTCCCTGTGGCACTGCTCGCGACAGTTGTGTCCACAGCCTCATTATAGACCACAAATGGTGGTGGTGGTGGTGGCGGGGGAGGGGGGTTACACACAATACTGTTGAGTGAACCGGCACACTCCATGGACTACGATTCCGCATAAGTTTGCACGAAGCAGTCCGAGCGCTCTGGTAGATATACAAAACGCAGAACACAGTGACAGTTTATCTGCAGTAAACTGATTGAGCCAGCTCGCCTAAACCACCTTTCGACACGCGCTAGATAAAGACCTAGAACCTAACTCATCTGAAATTCCATGTGGGTAATGGAGGATTTGGTTAAGTTTCAAATGACAATTCGTCGTGTATATGGCAAATGAAGCGTGAACTGAAAAGCTCGGAAGCACTGGACAGCTGTTTCGACCTGGTTGGGTCTCATCAGCAGTGCGAATCCATCGACCCGACTGGGGATCGAACCCGGGACTTCATGGGCTTTGTGATACATGGACAAACCGCCATCCAGAAGTTAATGATCTAAATCAACTATGCTCCCTCGCTTCTACTCATCTTCGGTTCACGTGCATTTCTTCATCTTTACTAAGATCCTAAATGAAGTAATTTTAAAAGTGTCTTTTTACTTCCTTTTTAATTTATTGAATCCCTTAAACTCCAGTTTATCAACAGTCTGAGGAATGATCGCGAGAAGTGGTGCGTAGGGAAGTGTAGAGAGATGGAGAAGGCTGCGACTATCGGTAATAGTCGCAATCTTTTTCGTTTAATTAGGAGCACAGGACCAAGGAAAGTAGGAGTGAGGTATTTAAGGAGTCTGACGGCATACTGATTCACACTCAGGAACGCTGTCTTGAACGTTGAGCAGAACATTTTAAGGCACAAGTCAGCTGGTCCCCGTCGACACCAGACCTCCCCCTCCCCGCTTCAACTGTGAAAATACTGTCAGTTGACACCAGGCCTCCATCTGAAATGGAGGTTTTTCGGGAAATAAGGTATCTCAAAGGCATAAGGCTTCCGGCTCCGACAGGCTGTCCCCATCCGTTTTTAAGGATGTAGGTCTAGCCATCGTTTTAGATTTAACAAAACTCCTGGGTTCAGTGTGGGAGAGGGGAGAGGTTCCAACCGAATGGTGTGAATCGGTGATCACACCGATTTACAAGAAAGGTGATAGATCCTCTTGTGAAAACCACAGGGGAATTACTTTAATCAACATTGCCTCTAAACTTCTCGCTGGCATCATACTCCGCCGATTATCTGCCTTACGTGAACGGTGCACGCATGAGAACCAGGCTGGTTTTAGACCCAGTCGAGGTTGTATCAACCACATCTTCACTCTCCACCGAATTCTGGAGCATCGACATTCTTTTCGTAGACCCACCATCTCTGTCTTCCGAGATCTGAAAGCGGCTTTCGACTCAGTCGACCACTCTTAACTCTGGCGCTGCCTTTCTCTCAAAGGTGTGCCCGAGAAGTTAATTTCACTATTACGATCGGTTTATACTAATAGCCGAAGTTGAGTCCGAGCTTACGGCACTTTTTCACCCGAGTTCACCACGGAAAGTGGTGTTCGTCAGGGTTGCCCTCTTTCTCCTTTTCTATTTAACTTTGTTATAGATTTGATTATGGAAACAGCCCTATCCTCGTGCGAGGATAGTGTAATCGACTTACTCCCAGGAGCCAGATTGCCTAATCTAGAGTACGCAGACGACATTGTGCTGCTAAGTAAAGATGCGAGTAAGTTGCAAGCATTTCTGGATAACTTGAATACCAGCGTAGCCATATTCGGTATGCGTTTTGCACCTTCAAAGTACAAAATTTTACTACAAGACTGGGTTGGTCCAGCACCCAGCCTCACTCTAACTGGGGAAGTAATAGAGCAGGTGGATAAGTTTTGTTATTTGGGCAGCTACATCTCACCTGGTGGACGCATCACGGATGAAATGTCTGTTCGCATACCGAAGGCTCGGTTGGCATTTGTCAACTTCAAACACCTGTGGCGCCGTCG